ACAAAGCAGGAGAGAATAAGAAGAAGCAGAAGAAGAAGAAAGAGGAAGAAGAAAACGAAAAAAGAAGAAAGGAAAATCAGAAGACGAGGAAGAAGAAAAAGAAGAAGAAGAAAAAAAATGAAAGCAAGGAGAAGAAATCAAATCAGAAGAAGAAGAAAGAAGAAATCAAATCAGAAAAAAGAAGAAACGATAACAATAACAACAAGAATAAAACAAAAGAACAGAAAAAAAATCGACCTGCTTAAGAAGACGCTCCTGATGTTTACAAAACTTGACGGAGAAAACATTAACCGGTCGAGAGGGTGGTGTTGAGGGCGCGGATTAAATGTTTACGTTAACTGAAAAGGAAATTTACTGACTATTTTCGGATTCTGAGGGATGGTAATTGTGGTTCGAATGTGGCGTTGTTGACGTTATACTTGAGTTGATGGTGGTGATATTAGCAACGACAATAGCAACAATATTAGCATCGGATTTGAGGAGAATGATGATGGTGATGATAATAATAATGATCATAATGATGATAATAATGATGATTATGACGCCGATAAAGATAATGATAATAGTAATAATATGATAATAATCATCATTATTATTATCATTATAATTATAGTTATAATGATGATAATGATAATGATAATAATGATAACAATAATACTTGTTATGATAATAACGATAATGATAATGATAATAATCTTAATAATAATAATAACTGCAATAATAATGAAGATGGTAATAAAGATAATAACAATAAAAATGATAATGATACTGACAAATATAAAGATAATAATAATAAAAATGATAATGATACTGACAAATATAAAGATAATAATAATAAAAATGATAATGATACTGACAAATATAAGGATAATAATAACAATAATAATAACAACAAAAATGATAATGAATATAATGACAACAACAGTAATAATAGGCCTAATATCAAGAATTCAATTCCTCTCATTCACAGACAGACACACACTCACATAAATGACTTACAGATTAGCGAATCACAAAGTCAAGCAATGTTGCAGAATCAACAAGAGCGCCTTTAAGAACAGGATTTCGACACGCAATTATGTGCAATTATGAAGAAAAAAAAAGTTATTATACTTCTTATTTTAAGAAAATTTATTTAAAAGATTTTTGTGTGGTTTATATTTCAGGTTTTTATTCGTTAATTGGTTTTGTTTTGTTTTGAAAAAAAAACGAAGATGAAAAGAAGGAGGAAGAAGGAGAGAGGAGAAAAAGGAGGAAGAATGAGAGAGGAGAAGAAGGAGGAAGAAGGAAAAGATGAAAAGACGGAGGAAGAGGGAGAGAAGGAGGAAGGAGGAGGAAAGATGAGAGGGTAGGAAGATGAGGAGGAAGAGGGAGAGAGAAGACGGAAGAAGGAAAGAGAGAGAGAGGAGGAAAAGATAGAGATTGGTGGAGTGAGAAAAGATGGTGGAGAGATACGAACGTATTAAATAAAGATGATGGAATGAAGAAAAAAGGAAGATAAATGGGTAAAAGTTAGAAAAAGGCGAGGAAAAATATAAAATATAAAATAAAAGAAATTGATAAATAAGTAAAGAAAATATAGAATGAAGAAAAAAGAAGAAAAAGAGAAAGAAACAGTAAAAGAAAACGGTAAGTTAAAATGAGAAGAGAAAAATTAAAAGAAAAAGCAAAGTAAATTAATAATAATACTAACAATAATAATAAAAATAATAAAAAATGATAATAAATGGTAAAGCAAAATAAGAATTAGGTACGTATACCCCATCAGGACCACGGTTGATGTTAATCTTATCAATCAAGTTAATGACTGCGAGGGAATTTTCAGGGCCGTGACGAGGTGCCATATCAGCGCCATTAAAATGTCTGGGATTGGCTAAGCACTTGAGAAGAGGGGGGGAGGGGAGGGGGTGTTAGAGGTGGGGGGGGGGGGGGGTGAGGGGGATGAGGAGGAGGAGGAGGAAGGGGAAGGAAGGGGAGGAGAAAGGAGGAGGAGGGGGAAGAGAGAAGAAAGGAGGAGAGGAAAGGGAGGAAGGAGGAGGGGGAAGGGAGAAGAAAGGAGGAGGAAGGGAGGGAAGGAGAAGAAAGGAGGAGGGAGGGGAAGGGGGGAGGGGGAGGGGATAAGAAGGGTGAGAAAAGAAGGATGTTGAGGGAGAGGATGGGGAAGAGGAGGAGGAAGAAGAGAGATAGAGAGAGAGGAGGAAGGAGGAAAATGAAGAGAGAGTAAGAAAGAGAGAGATATAGAGTGGAAGAGGAGAAGGAGGAGGAGGGAGGAGGTGTTACAGAGGGAGTGGGAAGGAGGAGGAAGAGAGGCGAGAGAAGAGAGCAGAAGAAGAGAGAAAGACAAGGGAAGACAGAGGAACAGGAGAATGGAAAAAGAGGTGTCAGAGAGAGGGGAAAGAGGAAGAGGAGGAAGCAAAGGAGAACTAGAAATGGGAAGAGGAGAGAGAGGAGAAGAAGTAGGAGTAGAAGGAGGAAAGAACAGGAAGCAGAGGGATAGATA